AAAAGAGAGAAAGATCCGAAACGGGTGCTGTCTGACGCTGGGTGATGCTTGCAGACGTGGACAAGGTAATATAAATCGATGGAAAATTTCCCCAAGAATTAAAAATTTGAGACGGACAGGGGGAACATGTGAGTTGTCCTCCTCCTATTACATAATGAGTTGACCCTCATTAATAATGACCAATTCATTATGCAATAGGAGGAGGACACATCACATGTTCCCACTGTTAGTCCCATATTTTGGGTAAGCACCATGCGGATCATTCTAAGAGGATGCGTATTCGATAATAAATAGACTAGCTTTTTTTTAACAACAAAGAGCTAATTAAGATAAAAAAACGTTTAATTGACATAGACCTCTTATAGTTTTATTGTTTTGAATTTATTGCCCAGCTAAAGCCAAAATGAAGCTAGAGGGATAGTTTTGAGTTCAAAATAAACAACTCACCCACCCTCTTAACTTTGGTCATTCACTTGGTTATAAACATAAAAGTGCTGCCACGGAGAACCAAAATGTCAAATAGAATGACATCAATGCACTTCGTCACACCGCATAGGTCGGAAGAAGGATGAACAAAGGTTGAAACGTTTTTCTCGTTCTTCAATTAACTCGAAGGATAGTATAATCGTCGCTGAATTTGAAAGAAATTTGAATGAGGGATTTTAGTTCATGATCCAATAACCGATACGAATTAAAAAAAATAAAATTTTAGAAGGGGAAAGAAAGCAAACAAAATTTATCACAAACTTTGCTGCCTCCATAAATCTAACTGTTCCTGAACTAACAACCACACGCGTGACACGCTTACTGATGACCTGCAACCTTAACAAAAGGACAGCCAAATGAAGAACACCATAAATCCAAAGAAATGTTTTCCCAAAAATTTAGAGTAACAAATCTTTCAAGCCAGCGTGATTCCTTTCTTCCCTTTTTCTTTTTATACTAGTCATAACTTCTCTTCAACTTGCTTCTCTTTCACAATATACAGTAGATTGCTAATAGCCAGAGTTCCGATTAGAATCTCAAAACTTTACAAAACAAAACTATTGCGCAAAAAACCCTATGCTGCCCCCTATGAGTTCATTAAGCAGCTACAGAAGGTAGCTCATGGGCAGAAGATATTGCACGCGGCGAAATTTCCCCCCCTGTCATAGAGCTTGTGTTACTAATGGTGCGAGCAAGACCGGCATGAGCTGAAGCTGGAGGACTAGATATCCCAGAGTTTGTACCAGACTCGAGTTCAATAGGTGGTTCTGACGTGTTCAATGCGTTACAGTGCGGGCAATAGTATATTATGTGCGGAAAATCTTCTCGCCTTGCTAAACCTGCAAATTTTCCAGAGTATCAGATTGCCAGCTCAACATGCATATGATATAAGAACTGTGAAAGGACTCTTGTCTCGATATCAAAACTACGAACTTGGGTGGGGTGAGGGATGAGAGTTATAATTTATTTATATTCCTAACAGAAATTAAATCTTACAAGGAATTGAGTCTCTACACCATTACATTATTTGCCAAACAAGATTCAAGTATTGGGGTTTCATGTGTAGAGTTAATTGCAAGTTTAAAGTAGTAGTTCAAGGTATTCAATGATATTTGCTTCAAAACACAGTTGCCAAACAGACTATTTACACACAAGCCAATACTTGAATTCAATTTATGTGGTGTTCTGTGACAAAACTTAGAAGTTTATATTATTTAATAACAAAGAGCTTCTGCATAATTCAACACCATTAGAATGTCTTATCTGAAGGTAATTCCTCTGGAAGTCGAGAAAAATAGATGAATTTGTCATAGTCAGGACACTTTGGGTAGGAAAGTAATTATGTTACTACCAAAAGAAAAGAAAAGCAGTAATTTCGTTTTGTGAAGCTCTCTTGTGATAAAATGATGGCTAAGAAATTAGATAATGATCAAGATGAATTAGCAAGGCTGCCCTAAATATAGGTAATTGCACATAGACCACATGTATTACCGCTCAATTGCGGATAGATCCCCTGTACTATGGCCTAATAACAGGTATACCCCTAGTGAGATTATTTTTGACTCTTTAACCTCAGGAGGAGGTCTATTTGTAAAAAGATTAGTATTCCCTTTTCTCTGAGAGTAAGAGAGTCAAAAAAGTTCACTCAGCCAGTCTATCATCAACAATTGAACTACAGGGAGTTCTATCCGCTATTGGGTGATAGTACATGGGGTCTGCAATCAACCCTTTTTTTTATATTAGCATGACGTACCATTATGCCTTAGGCAGTTGCCACATATGAGGGCGTAGCAGTGTGATGGGTCCTCTCCAACAAGAAGCGCAGCAATACGTCCAATCCAACCTCCATCACTAGGGCTTGGACCTCGGTGATGTTCCACAACCATTTGGCCCCGAGAAGAAACAATTTGAGCACCAGCCCCAGATTCATTCGGGACTTCAACCATTGATTGAGGCATGCCACTGCTCCCATTGCTGTTATTACGAGAATGGGTCTGTCTCCTGTTACGAAGGCCACCGGGCTGCACCAGTTCCACATCATTGCTTCTAGCTGATGATGGGTTAGCATTTGCTTCGTCTCCAAGAAAGACCTTTAGACCAGAATCAATGCCTAACTTAGATGCCAGAACACTTGCTGCAGCAGCCTGTGCAGCAGGATCAAGGTCGTATCTCTGGATTTAAAGGTGTTCTGTTAGCAAGGCATGAATCAATCATTTGAACAAGTTATCGACCGTTGTGAGAGTTACCTGGATAAGTTGTTGTGTAGTGTAATAGTTGGTTCTCTCTTTAAGCTCATCAAGCTTCGCCTTCCTTTCAGCTCGTAGCCTTTCGAGTGTCTTCTGGTCCTTGCGATCCACTGGAAACAATAAACTCTTTCTCAGTACAGTAACTGCTGATACACGATTGACATAATAAAATGCCTAATGCCCCAATATCGAAATCAGTAACTAAAAACGAGATACTAATGGATGCAAGAGTAAATCAGATAAAAATTGAAAGTGAAGTCAGAATAAGCTCATATCAATGTCTAAGAGCAAACACGAACAAGCTTCCTGTTGTTGATCAGTGAGTACTTGACACCAAATTTGTAGTCACATTGCTGACAAGATGATCACAGATCAATAGATAATGAAACACAAACTCATTTTCCATATGTGCTGCACAATTTGGCCAGCAATAGTTAACATTTATAAACTACATATTGACAGATTTCTTTTAAGGACACCTCCAAACTAAAATAATTTTTATTTACAGTTAACGTAGTCTCCAAAGTACTAAGATAGATCATTATTTACAAACTAACTGTTTTTAAATTATATTGTCTGTAACTGTTCGTACGCTTATATATTAGTCTCTTAGTGTAGCATACTGTTTTTAAATTATATTGTCTGTAACTGTTTTTAAATTTCATTTTGCTAATTTATGTTGATGGGTGGTATTCGGCGAGGGTTTGGATACTGGCAGCATTTATTAGATAGAAATCTGGCAGAAAACACCAAATAAGTTTAAAAGTTGAGTCATTTGATCACTTCTTTTTGAGTTCTAACAGCTTCCTTCTTTACCCTTTATAGCTGATCCATCTGGTTTACGGAAAAAAGGCCCCGCACATGACTAGTTTCATGATACTGATAGCTTATTTATTTAACCAACTGTATACTTGCATACTGTGACGTTGATGATTAGCGCTAATACATCCAATTCCAGTACAGGAGAGGTTAATTAGACAATTGTGGAGATTTACAAAGAAATCAAAGAAGTAATAACAGTTTTGAGGAAAAGAAATATTAGTAGCTAGAACCGCATGAAGAAAAGTGATGAAGGTCAGCCTAGTCTGGCTGAGCTTGATATAATGCTCTGGAAGAGCCTGTAGACCACCTAGTATTTCAGATTTGCATACATAGTCGAATTTAAAACAGTAGTCTATTTTATTTCTCTTATTTAGTTACAAGGAACTAGATTACAGTAGGTTACAACTGTTAGTCAGCATCAGTCATTTATATGATTTAAAACTTTGCCTAAACACTACTCCGATTGAAAGAAAAGCTTTGACTGAATGACTATCTCCTAAATGAATCTCCATACGTTCTCTCGATTTTTAATCCACAATCTCTACTTTATCTGATCTTATATTCTTTCGATCTATTCTTCTAGCTTACAAATTTATTTTTCCAATAGGAAACCAATTCAGAGAGCAGAAAGTTTGAAAATAGCCATGATGTTTAGCCGTGGAAAGAAATTGGTTGGAAACCTTAGGCAGTAGATAGGGCTCCTTTAAAGAAAGTGCTCCTGTAATTGTCTTCTCCCATAATAATCCAACCTTTGCCTATTGCAGCAAAACTGGTTTCGAGCAAGTTTTGAATCTTAAAGTTTATGCCTGGATCAAATTTAGTCTGATGCCAATTAATAGAGAATTAAAATTTGGAGATAGAGATCCAATCCTTGGTCAATTTTGTTAAAAAATATACCAAAGGAAATGTCCTTACCTTACATCCTACCAGATGCTAATGCAGCTCATCGTCTAAAATGAGTTAAGTTCTTCCTCATTCACATATATCTCCAGGAGACTTATATATGTCAGCTTTTAGGAGACAGTAACAGCTAGAATAAAACTAGATAAGCTTGAAGCAGAGAACTCACTCAAGTAATTTATATGCGATGAAGCTCATTATACAAGATTTAAAGGAATAGAAAAAATACATAAAAAGAACATATAACTAGAGGTCATGATGAGTGCAATAAATACAGTGGTACTACTACTAGGCCATTTTAAAGTGACATAGACTAGGAAGACCAAATGAAGCAGAAACCTGAGGATGCCAAATCGAAAACAAAGCATATAGCTCAAGTTAAATGAACTTGTATTATAACCATTAATAATAAAGGAAGGTAGTTAAGAGTTCAAGATGTTTACACATTCTTGACAAGCGAACAACCATAGTGTAGAGAGCAAAAGATAAACCCGGTGAAACAATAGCGGGCAAAGATCGAATTATCTTCAAGTGCCAGCTCAGATCCAATGACTTCACTGCCATTATAGCAAAAGCCACGGCCGCTACCTGGTAAGAATAGACATACAAAAGTAGCCACCTTTAAGCTGATATTCTCCAACTCCCTATAGCCAAACATAACTTTCTAAAAGACAATAAAGAAAGCCGCACTACTTACAAGTAAACATGGAGGGATAATCCATCACAGTTTTACACAAGGTATAAAAGCGTGAATTTACAATGAATGACTAATATAGGAACATATCTGGATAGCAGAACAATGGTTTCGGGTGCATAAGCTGCATAAATTAATAAAGAAAAGCTAGCTATGTAATCTGACTATATCACAAAATGAGGGGAAAGAGAATATAAAGAGTTGAAAGATAAGAATGAAAACAAGATAATTTGATTAGAAATCATCAAGGTTTTAAATGTCGGGTGTCGGGTTCATGTCGACAACTGAAATCCATGTCGGATAGCAGAAATCAGGGATATATCAGAGGACATGAACTAAATATTGAATTGTCATATCGGATAGTGCACATATGTATAATATCATGTCCTAAATGTCTAAGCATTCCTAAATTCAATATAAGCATACTTTATAAATTCTAGAGGCGGCGCCGGCGATGGGTGGATTCCGACGTCGCAGGGAGGCGGTGCCGGCGACGGGACGTCACAGGGAGGCAGTGTCTGGGCTCTTCTTCTTCTTCTTCGGCTGCTCGGGGTCCTTCGGATGAGTCATAGACCACCCTCTTCCCTTTATCCCGACAACGGGATACCCTGTCGTCCTCGGGTTCGGTTAGGGTTCGGATTTCGAGGCGCAACGGGAGATGGACGACGAGGGGCCGAGATGGAGGTGGGTTCCCAAGTCCGCTGTAACCCTAATTTTTCTCTTTTCTTTCTATCGAGCTCATAAGAAACCCTTAAACATGAGAACGGGTCAACCAGGTTTGGGTTTTTATCACTAAACCAAAACCCGATAACAAAAAATAGATCTAAAAAAAGGGTCATATCGGTCGATTTTTCAAAGCTGAAAAATCGACCGATATGCCCGATATAGCCCCGATATTTCCGATTTGGCCCTGAAAACAGACATACGAGTTGAAAACGCCCATGTCGTGTCGCTCAAGCCCTGAAAACCGACATGTCAGCCGACATTTAAAACCTTGGAAATCAGATTTTTCTATATTTTGAGACTTTCTGAATTTTGGTTCCAAAATTAAATAAGAAAAACTGCCCAACATATCACTACCTCCCCACCCAAAAAATAATAAGACTAGGCAACTTTTTTTATTTTAACCCAAAAAAAAGAGTTAGATTGTTATAAGTTAGTGTCATTTAGCAAAGTGTGCTACCACTAAGAGGTAGAAGTGTTGTGACCACACCTTTCAAGTAGGCTTGTCGGGTCACTGCATAGCTATCTACTGATGGTGCATTTAGTAAGATGACCTGCCTCAAAGAAGAAGAAACCTGGACGCATAGCCACCTCATACCCCCTTTTTACAAAAATATATGATATTGTAATATCTGTTTTTATAATTTGTCATATCGTTTCTCCTCTGCTCTTCCGGAATGGCCCTCTTTTGTTCCCGCAAGCTCACCCTCCATTCTCCTTCCCTGTTAGTTAGTACTCACTATATCCTATTTAAATTATTTAAACCACTAAAAGCCTTTGCTTCCTTATTTTCATCGCCACTATATTCCATTTTCATTTAAGTGCTCAATCTTATTCATCTATAATATAACCTCTTGGGAATATTTGCAGGCCTCAAACAGAGAGAAAGAGAACTCAATTTTAAAAGCAATTTCTGATCTTGTAATGAAGATAATGACTCAATTCATGATATAGTATTCCTAAGGATCTTTTTACTTTACAAGAGTAGTAAGACTCTCTCTAAAACTAATTTTATAAAATTTGCAATCGATATGGTTTCCTCCCTTCTTGAGGTTATCATTATGATATCCAAAGTTAACTTCAACGATCTTTGCGTCCGGAAAAGATTGTCAAATTCCGTCTTGTTCTTATATTCCTACCCCAACTTTCATCTTCATTGTTGTACTACCCTGTTTCACATCAGAGCATAAACAAGCGCACCCTTATCCTCCGTTCATCCCAAATTATTCATAAAACTTATTATCAAAACATTTTCAACAAAATACTAAGGTCGCATCTCCTGATGTTAAAAATGTGGTTGTAAAAACTAAAAACCTCATTACTCAATCCTTCTATTAAAATTCCGGACAACGAACTTCCCATATTTTAAATCAACTTTCCTTCAAAGTGCTGACCAATATGATTAAACGTGTTACTTAAGATTGATGCATGCAATTGACAATCACCAGCTTTTCATCACCGCACCAAACAAATACCCTATCCTTTTCACCTCAAAATTTCAAAACTCACCGCATGTGACACAGTTTTGTGCTATCACAGTAACCTAGGACCCATTTGGTATCACAATAAGTGATGGTTAGCTTCACTCCATCAGAAGTGGCTGGATTAACCTTAGTCGAGGATTCTAATCAAACTTAGACTATTCCAATCTCTCTTTGATCTTATTCCTCTAATTCTATTTCCAAAACAATATAATTATTCACTGTCCAATAAATGTTTTATGGCAAAAAACAATTCTACATCCAACATGTCGATTGAATTGATGTCGTGCATGACCAAACCAATTTAATCAATTCTCAGAAGTCCTACAACCCTAACACACAATCAATTAACAAAAATAGCAAAACTAACCACAAAACTGTTAGATATTTTTGTTTTAAAAGTGGGTTCCATACTTGATTTTCTCCATGGAAACATGGACGGCTAAATTAATGGAGAGGTGTCAAATTTGTGTTGAAAATGAAAAAAAAATGGTGGGCCCCACCACAAGAAAATTAGGACGTGTGCCCCACATGTATAGTAAAATAATATTATTTTATTAGTGCATAGTGTTTTCTCAAACGTTATAAATAGACCCCAAATTCTTAAGGAAAATTCATTCCAAAAAACAACAATCAATATATACCTATATATATGTTGTAAAATAGCTAGTGCTCGTAGGAATATTGTCTGGATCGAGAAGGTCTTATAGATCGAGGAGATCGTTGCCTTGACCGAGAAAGTCTTATACATCGAGGAGATCGTTGCCTTGACCGAGAGATCCTATAGATCGAGGAGATCTTGACAGTATTGGATTGGTGCACACCAGAGTACTGTGCTGTTGTTCCTAGAAGCAATTTGACCTTGGGATCCTTACACCGGAGTAGACCAAATATTACATTAAGCATAATGTTTTACAAACGCACAGCAGCTGAGTTGAAATTTTTTTAAATTACTACACTTCAGCTTTCTTTTCAGTTTTTGCTGTTTTATATCTGTATTATTTCAGATTTAACCTCAGACGCCAACAATCTTAAAGCAATATTTTGATCTACCATGGATCCTGCAAGGACTCTTGGAGTGGACTGTCTTAAGTTAGAGAACTTTGACGGTTCTAACTTTAACACATGACGTCGGAAAGTGATCTTCGGGATGCAACTCTTAAAAATCTACTATGTGATCTCTGAGGAGAAACCCGACTCTGAATAAGATTCTGAGTCTGAAGCCTCTTGGGCTAAAGATGATCACTTCTGCAGGAGTTATCTCCTTAACTACCTGACCGATCATCTAGCAGATGTTTACACCAACAAGCCCTCTGCAAAGAAATCTAGAATGCTCTGGAGGATCAGTACAAGGATGAGGAGAAGTTGTCCAAATCACCTCATCGATAAGTTTCTAGATTTCAAGTTCGAAGACGACACTGAGGTTTGCCTCAAGTCAAAGAGCTTAAAAATTTTGTTATGAAGCTAAAAGATGAAAATATCAGTCTTTGTCAAACCTTTATTTCTAGTACAATTGCCAACAAGTTTTCTCCATCTTGGATGTCATTCTCCACTGATATTCGAAGAGCAAAAAGACAGATGACTGTCTGATTTAAAAAGATTCATTCGGATCAAGGATGAGACTCGGACTCGCACGAAAAATGAGCTCATCGCTAAGCAGAAGGCGTCTGCTAACATGGTGGTTACTAACTCTGAGAATGGTAATAATTTATCTTTCAACAAAAAGTTCTTTAACAAAAGAAAGAACCAGAATCCAAAGAACTTGAACATTCAGAAGAAGGAGTTCAAGAAGAACGACAAATGCTTCAATTATGGGAAGCAATGACATTTTGTCAAGGACTGCAAAGAATCAAAGAAAGAAACTACACATAATGTCAATCAAGTTGATGATTGTGTGACTATGATCTTCCAGGTAACAACTCCTAATAGCAATATCTCTGATTGATGGTTAGATACAGATGCTACTTGTCATGTTTGCTCCAATAGAGATTTGTTCTTTTCTTATATTGCTGCCAAAAAAAACGTATCAATGGCTGATCATTCTGTGGTTCCTGTTCTTAGAACTGGGAATGTGATGTTGACTCTCTCTTTAGGAAAGACTCATATTGAAGGAGGTGAAACATGTTCCCTTAATTATCAAAAACTTAGTTTCTGAAAGCTTGCTATGTGATGCAGGTAAGAGGCTGGATTTCCAAGGAGGTAATGCTATATTATCCTTTAAGAAAATATATTTTGACAATGCATATCGTACTGATGGCATATATAAGATCAGTATTATTGTACTCAATTTGGTTATAAATAAAGTATCCTCTTCTGCTTACTCTCCTGTATTATGACATAATAAGCTAGGACATGTAAATTATAGAAAATTGTCTAGCATGGAGAAGTTAGAATTATTTTTAAAATATGGGGTTAACAAACCTGAGAAATGTGAAGTTTGCGCACAAACAAAGCTGACGAGGAAGCCATTTTCAAATGTCACGAAGAGCACCAACCCGTTGGATCTGATTCATTTAGATATTTGTGACTTCAAGAGCTTCATCACTCGTGACGGCAAGAAGTACTTCATCACTTTTATTGACGACCATTCTCGCTTCTGTCACGTTTACCTGCTGAAATCTAAAGATGAAACCTTCAGCAAGTTTGTCGAGTTTCGGACTCGAGTGGAGAAGCAGCTTGGACTGCAGATA